ATTGGTGATCGAACACTCTATGAACCAACGTAACTGGTAATATTTTAATATTTTTTTAACTCTTCGTTGTTGCTTACAAAAATATAATATAAAAGGTAATTAAGAGTACTAAATCAAATCTAAACAAACTAAGTGTTGTATTTTACAAAGTTAGGAATAAATTAGAGAAGTTTGACCTAAAAATGGCTACTTTTTTCTCTGTGTAGAGAAGAGAGAGGTTCGCTGTTGTAACCACGGCGCCAAAATATTTTCACTTGACTTTTGCGGCTCTGTTTTTATGGCCCTGCGAAGTTCACCGGGGAACTCAGATCGCAGATCGGTGGGAAGGGCTGGTGGGGGGCGAATCGGGGGCTGTGGATAGTTATGTAATGAGGAGAAAATTGACAATAAGACAAAGCGCAAAATACAAACAAAACCGCGTGAGAGACTGCGACACTAAAACTGCAATGTCACTTAGCCATTATTAATGCCCTGGTATTTTCGGGGGGTATACTGAAGCCCCGGGGGCGTGGCAGCCCAGCCAGAGACGCCTCACGTCACCGGACGGACAGATTTACGGACGGACAGGGCCCGAAACTGTGCCACGGTAATCACACCGAATCCGAAACACATCAAAACTATAAAGCGTACGGAGGCTGCGACGAAACGTCGGATGCACGTGGTTTATATGCATTGCTAAGAGCTGTTCATATAAGTATCAACAAATTTAAAATTTTAAAAAGCTTTGGCTCTAAAAATGTAACATTTCACCCGAAGGTGAGGGACCAACAACAGACCTAATGTGGATGAATAATAAAATAAAGACAACTTGTGGGTTTATTTTTAAAGAAAAATATATAAAGTTAGCCTAATTTGTTCGTGAGATAATTTGGCCTAAATAGGTAGAGCAAAAATTAAAAAACCTATTAAATTTAAATGTGGAAAACCAAGTCAGATAAATATATACAAGTATTAATAAGATCTTAAGCTACAGTTCTTAATACTTTGTGTTCTTTTCTTTTGCACCCTTTGAAAGTGGCACCATCATATTTCTAAAAATACCTTGTGGGATGTCGTGACAAACATTTTGTAGGGTACGAAGATTTATTTGTTTTTGGTATTTGTTGACATCATATCGTTATTTGTTTCTTTTCTACATCCAATAACTAGAAAAACAAATTTTTGTTGTTGATTTTTGTGAACTTGTAATCAAACCACTTACTTTGATCAATTTAAGCACAGACCTGAAGTAGACTTTTTTTTTAAGTGTACAGTAAAATTTGCATTCAATTGTTGTACGTTTTAAACTTTTTATGAAGAAAAAATAATAAATTCCACATCTGCATAGAGTTTTAGTGTGTATTTATCAGTTCGTCACCTTACCCTACAACTTTTAAATTGGAAAAAAAAAGCCATCAAACTTTTACAGGAATACTCTCTAGCAACGTTCTGCTTTTAAACCTTTTAAAAATATTAATTTTTGGAAAAGTGACATTCAAAAAACGAATCGTTCGTCACTAAACCCTACACTCTCCTATGTTTATATGGAAAGCAATAAAATAAGTAATATATAATATAACAATTTTCGCTTTTTGAAAAAAACAGAAAGGGTTATAAATCAGAATAAAGATATCAGTTCTTAATTCTTAATTTTGTTAGTATCTCAAACAGCTCGAACATGCCCTAAAATAACAACACACATTTTCATATGCTTATTTTTTAAATCATCAATTTGGTTGCTTGGTATCTAAAATACCAAAATGGCTCCTAAAAATATGCAGACCTTTTAAAACCTTCAGAAAAAATCAGTCGCCTAAAAATGCCATACATAAATATGGCCATTACTCATTACGTGTATTAAGCACAAGAAATAATTAGAAATGTAAACGTTCGTAACGAACCAAAATAGTATTTCCCAGATAGCAATACTTATCCAGATCCACGATACTCACTCGCCAGTTACGAAGTTTAGATAGTAAAATCTCCTGAAGCCGTTCGATATGTTTGTGCTGTTTATTTCGACAGTTCTATGTAAGTGCCTTCGAGCGTGTATATCTTAGATATATAAATATATATAGTTGGTATTGGTATACTGGTATACAAAAAAGACGCCTAGCAAAACAAAAGTCCGTATAAAAGGACAATACACGTTTGTAATACACTAAAACAGTTAACATCTTTTTCGATTTCCCATTTCGATTTGGTAGCACTAGTTTCGTTTTTGTTTTTTTGGAAGCCACATCTTAACTGTAACTGGGAAACATCGAGCCCACCTATATATATATATGTATGTATATGTAGGATATATATGTATATCTATCGGAATTATCACAAATGCTTATGATCTAGCTAAAATAGCGTATAGTTTTGCTTGCTTCAAGCGCGCAGGGATCGTGAGATGCGTGTGGGTGGTGCCTTTGACCAGCTTTGCTCCTCGGCGCTGGCGAAGATCAGGTAGATGAAGTTCCCGGCTATATTCAAGCCAGCCGCCAGCCAAAAGACCAGATGCCACTGGGTCAAAGTCTCGCGATGATTGATTATCAAGCCGATGACATAGGGTGCCAGGAAGCCGCATATATTGGCCGCCGAATTGGTGATCCCATACATGGTGCCCGCATACCGGGGACTGAGGGCAATGTGATTCATCTGGTTGCCAGCGTAGACGGCTCCACCAAAGGAGCCCACGCCGGCCAGCATAAAGGTGACCCACACCCAGTCGCAGCCCACGTAAATGATGCCAATCAAGCCCAGTGATGGCACCACCGAGGCCACCGTGTTCCATAGTTTGTAGGAGTTCAAGAGGGATATGTACCGCTTGGCCAGCATCCAATCGGCCAGAGCGGAGCAGGCAATGCCCACGAACCAGGACGTTAGATAGGGTACAGCATTCAGCAGGGCATTAGACTGGATGTCAAAGTGCAGGATGTTGCTCATGTAGGTGGGCAACTCGGTGAGCTGCGTGTAGAAGGCCCAACCCTGACCGCATTGGGTCAGCAGAATGGCCCACAACGGCACCGAAGTGAGCAGCGATGACCAGGGTATGGGCTCATCCGTCGGCCTCCTCACACCCACTTCATCCTGGTCCTGACCCTCTTCCTCCTCCGGACCCACCAATTCCTGATTTATCAGCCTCTGGGCCAGCAGACTCCTTTCGATATACTCTCGCTCTGAAGTGGAGATACGCGGATGATCGCTGGGCTTATCGTAGACCAGATACATCCAGGCCACAAACCACAAGATGCCCAGCAGTCCAAAGATGTAGAAAGCCGATGGCCAACCGCCCAGGAAGTCCAGAGAGCAAAGCCAACCGGCCAAGGGCATGGAAATGACAGTGCCTATATTGGAGCCCGCATAGACAATGGCAGCGAACTTATTCCTCTCCAACGGCGGTATCCAGTGGGCCAGCATGGCGTGCATGGCCGGATAGGTGACGCCCTCGCCCATTCCCTCCAGGATGCGGACCAGGACCAGCAGCGGGAGATCCCAGTGAGCGGCCAGCGGGGTGATGAGTGTGAATATGGCCGTGACCAGCACTCCATAACCGTAGATCTTCTTGCCGCCGTACAACTCGGCCATTCGTCCGCCAGGAACTTGGGTCAGCACATAGCCGTAGAAGAAGCTCCCGAGGACCAATCCCTGCGTGGCCTCGTCCCACACGAACTCGCCTTCCTTCTGAGGATTCGGATCGCTGCCATTGTGATTGGGTTCCGGCAGCGGACAGGTGTCCGTATCGATCACCGATGAGTTGCTGTGCGGGATGGCCGTCTGGTTCACCATGGCCACAATGGCCACCGAGAGGTTCACCCGCATGGCATAGACGACGGCGAATCCCAGGAAGCCCATGAATCCGAAAATGTGACGTGTCTTTGGCCCACAGCCATGGTTCTCTGCGAGAGGAGAAAGAGCAAAAGCTGGATTAGGAGGCGTTTTTAGCGATATCAGTTCCGGTTCAAAACTTTTTTCAGTTCTTGTTGATAAAAAAACAATACCAGATTCAAAATTTCTTAAAAACCATGCAAGATGATATAATAACACAGTGGAAATTTCCTAAATCGAACTGAGAAATCTTTTGAAGGAGTTAACTCGGATATTATTATAAATGTTTAAACATAAAACCACACATATACCATTAATACATGTATTTAATAGTTATACATAAGGGTGACATTTTTAAAACAATTTTAAATTGAAAAAAATATATATAAAATACCTTCAAAGGAATTGATTGCCATCATTGTTATTTAAAGACAAATGTTCTTTTATAGATCAGTAAAGAAAACCAAAACTTAAATACGCCTTACGGATAAAATCTACATAGGCACACACGACTGTAATGGAGAAACGTGCGAAGTGCTGTGAACTCGATAATACTGCGCGAAAATGAAAACCGGAGATTGGCTGAACAGAGAAACAAACGGATTAGTCACTTGTCGAAATTCAATTTCTTAAGTCATTCGAAAATTACTTATAAATATTAAAATATAAAACTACTGCTACTTAATCATAAAATAAAATATACCAATACAAAAATAGTAATGAAGCAAAGTTGTTTTATAAAATGATATCAGTTTGTTGTATAGAACGTTAAATAGTTCCCTAAAACTTAACTTGATTTATTTAAAATAAATAAATGGATAATACAAATATACTTCAAATTTTTTGCCCAAAACTTTTGTGATCCGTAAGCTTCCTAACAGCATACAGTAATATGAAGTAGAGAGCATTTAAATATACTGTTTAACAATTATATAAAAAAAAATATATTTTCAACTGTTTTGAAGTCTGTTACATTTTAAAGACCTATGGGGGGCTAGCAGTAAAACTTATTTTATTAATATATTTTTATGCATTATAAAACCAGAAAAGAAGCTAATTTAGCAAGCCGAAGTATATTTATATACGTCCATAATCCTTAGTTTACTAAAGAAAAGTTTTCCTAGATTAATTTGAAATCGTTAAAAAAATAATGTCTTAAGTAATATACTGAGTTCTAATATTATCCTAAATAATACAAAATGGTCTTATATGCAGAGGTATATTTTATTCCGGTAAATTGAAATATGGTCACGATAACGGATACGGATAGTAATACGTTCCCTATCGGTTAAGAATCAGCGAGAGGTAGCAGTTCCAGACGAGGGCGATGGTCTGAGCGTAGAACACCTGGTAGCCCAGCGGCACGAAGCTAAAGTTGATCATCTGGGCGGCGGGCCAGAGCATGTAGTTCCTGGCCATGATGGTGGGATAGGTTTCGTAGAGCCGCTTGCGGATCCGATCGGCTGGCTCACCATTGATCAGCAGCACCAGGAAGGACGTGGCCAGTGAGAAGGGTGGAGCGAAGCAGACTTGGTCTACCACCATCTTGGTAACGCCCCGTCGCATCGGTGTGTAGGTTTTGGGAACCCTCGACTCCAGGAAGAGGTACCATTGCCGCAGAACCGGACCCACAAACACCAGACCCAGGGCACCGAATCGAAGGGTTCGTCCGGTATCCCAGTCATTTAGCGGCTTCTTTTCAATGACCAACTGGGCTATAGTATCGCCCAGGCCCATTATCGCCGCCACAACCATGCCATCCTTCAGGAACGCCTTTACTGCCGACATCCTTAACTCACTTCAGCCCTTTATTTAACACGTTTCAATTGGAAGCCATTCCGGCAATTTCAAACACTATGTATGTCGACTGACTTTTATTTCTGATTTATATTTTTCAAGGACTACTACGTTCTTTTTTTTAAATGGGATATTGGACAAGAGTATGGTATATAATATTAAGTTTAATTGCCGACAAGAGTGAAAGGAATGTTGCCTTTTTCATTTATAAGAAAAAATTCCAGTAGTTAAGATACAAATTACAAATAATGATTGATTTTGGTCTTTGTAAGCTACATGGTGTAGTAGTCAATTTTTTTTTTAAACAAAGAACCTACACTGTTTGTTCTATTGATTATTCCTAATACAGTTTCCGATCCATTTCGTTCCGACTAACAAATATACTACCTCGATAGAAATAGCAGTTTTTTAAAATTTTAATGCAGATAGCTTTTAAAACTCGGAGTTCCCGTAGAAATGGACAGCGTTCTATGGTTAGATCTACTCGGCTGTTGATGCTGATCAAGAATACATACATACATCCAATGTCAACGTTGCTAACTTCTGACCAACATTATAATAACCCCTGCTAGGGTTAAGTATAGAATACCCTAGTTATACAAGTAGAACAGTTTTTTAAATAATTATGCCAAGATGATATACTATTTTAAGAGATCTTTCAGTAACTCTACTGTTAAACATATCCGTATCTGTAAGATCTAGTAAGTATCTTTCATCTGTGTATCTTTTATTTACTCACCCTCCCCTGCGGCGCTGGAGCGGATTAGCGGTCGTTCGCCGGAACAAAACGCCTCCCGTTCATCATCCGCCTCATCATCGGAGCGGTCCGCCGTGGCGGAGGAGTTGGAAGAGGACGACGGCCGGCGGAAGCGGGAAGCGGCCGCATCCTCGTAGTAGCATGAGGCGTCCCGCGACTCGTCCGTCCACTTGTGCGGTGGCATCGTGGCGTTCCACTTGGAATCTTCGCTTCTTAATAGAGATCTTGGTGCGCCTGCGAGCGTTTTTGGAGCGTTTGGAGCTGCAACAACTGCCAGCGCATTTTCTCTGCCGGAGCGGCAGTCTTAGTTGTATTTGTTGTTGTGCCTAGTAGCGCCAGCGGCGGCGGAAGCGGTTTGCGGGGAGAGCAAGAGCAAGAGCTAGAGCGGGAACGGGAACGGGAACAAGAGCGCGAGCGGACACTTCACCACGCCAGCGGGAACCAGCGCAGACTGACGGACTGGCAACTGGCAACGGGCAACGGGCAGCGAACGGAGCAACAACAAACCTAAACAAAAGCCAAACGTTGCTTCTAACCACAGGAGGCGCCACAGAGGCGTAGTTGTTGGGGTGTTACCAATTCGAAGAGGGGTTCTTAAGTCCAGTAAGTGGTTACAAGTTATAGAAAATCTAGTAAGTGGTTACAGGTTATAGAAAATAATTGTAAAACTTGTTCTGGAGGCAAATTCAAGGTATATTTTCAAAATCCTCAGTAACTAAGGTAAAAATATTTTTATAAAAAAGAAATGGTAGGTTTTTAAAAAACCAACTTCTTTACTCGCTTAAAAAAAACAATATTGAAGTTGTTCTGAGAATAAGACAAATGTTTACTGATGATTTGAAATGTTAAAACCAAGTAAAACGAAATATTACCCATAGAAATATTAAAAAAAATAGTAGAAGAGAAAGTATTTTTGAATCAAAAATTAATTCTAATAGTAAAAGTATAATAGTAACTTTAATTAAAAATTATATTTCTTTTTTTTTTATGTTTTAAGTACAATGTATATTACAGCAGTTGATCACTTTATCAAAAAACTTAAGATCACTGAATGGCACCTGTAGCTATCATTTCGATTTTAGTTTTGTTCCCAAAAAAAATCTTCCAAAAAAATATTTAGCAAGCAATGTTTAGCTACCCCCTTAGTACGCCCCTGCAAATGGAGTCACCACAGCTGGTGCTCTCTCTAATGCTCTGCTCTCTGTCTAATTGTTTGGCTCTCGCTCTCACCCGTGTGAAAGTGGAGCATTGAATGCTAGTCTACGTCACAGAAGGGGATGCAAGAATGCGAGAGAGCGACAGGGAGAGCATCAAAGAGAAAGGGGGCAGTGTGCAAAAGAGATAGCTCAAGAAGAGAGCGCAGCGTAATGTTTATTGTTGTAAAGTACCTAAAGTACAAAATCTTGGTTTAGTTACAGTTAGTTTCTTTGCCACACACACCCGCATTTGAATCTTTTCGAGTACACCCACACACTCAACGGCGATATGGCGTATTTGCTCGCACTGAATTATTAGTAGGGAAATGAAAACAATAACACAAAGCCAAATTCCAGATAGTCGGAATCAAATCAAAGGGAACTTGTACTAAAAACTTGACTACACTTGCAAAAGGTTAGCAACAACAAAGGCGAAGAGAGAAAGGCGAAGCATTCGCTCACACAAACACACACACTCGTACAATTCTGGTCAACACAATAGCAACTTTTAAATATCAAAGCTATACGCTGGCACATTTAAGCTTCAATTAAACAACAAAAGAAATAAGCAAGAAACAGAAATTCACGCATGGAAACTTTTTCACATTTCCTTCAGTTTACAACACGACCGATAAGATAAAGGGTTGAATTGATCGAGTATAAACAGTTCTGCATTATCTTATATAAAACAGATTATGAATGATTTTTACAATTCAAAGTACATTAAAAATGTTAATTCTGTTATGTTTTGTACATAAACAGTATTGCTGTTATTACAAAGCAATTTTATATTATTATGTATTACTTTTGTTAAGCATTCTTTAAGATCATATACCATATTTATTAAACATTTTTTTCTTTTTAAGCGTTGGTTCAAAACATATGATGTAAGTCAAAAGTTCGTACTTAGTGCTATTATTTTGACCCAAAGTGTACATTCATAGGTGTGCCCTTTTACTGCTTTAGGATACACTGCTTTGCAGGAGGTTACTGCAAGCAGTGTCTCAGGATTTCCAGGTACTTCTTCTTGTGGGGGCAGCATATGTGCGCATGTCCCGAAAAATGCCTGTTGCATTCAGCAACCGTAGACCTACCCCAATTCTCCCAAATGCAGAACAGTTTAAGGGTTTTTAGTGGACAATTATTGGCAGAGTATAAAAAACAGTTCTGGCTTTAGACTCTTCTACAGCTCAGTTGGAATAATATGTAGGATACCATACGGTTTAGAAGCCAATTATAATAACATTTTGTTTTAGAAACAATATGCTTAATAATTTATACAAATATGATTACATTTCGGCTTTTAGCCACTTTTTTGTGCAAAATTAGCTTCACACTTTTATAGTTTCCATATGGATATGTCAAAATATGTTCGGTATAATTCGAATTTTAGAGGTATCATGCATAATATTCCAATTGAACTGTGTGAAAAGCCTTTAGATACACGTAAAATGCTTATGAGAGGTATTTTAAAGTATTGGTGAAAGAGCACCTGGCTATGTGACTGGTTCCTGATCACCGAATGTTAGACCTCCTTCACTATTAGTTCGCGAAGATGGTGCCCACGGGGAACACGATGATCCTCCGTTTGCCGCTTACCACCAGGGATTCGTAGTGGTAGTTCTTCTCCAGGAGGACATCATTGCGATTGCCCTCGAAGGAATCTCTGATGGGGCTCAAGTTCGGATTGAAACAGTTAATGGCTACAACATCGGATGGCAGGCGTGGTATCAGTTCGTAGGCGCAGGCCAGTTTCTCGTTCCACAGGCTAACCTGGCCATAAGGCAGGGGATCCCTTTTGGCCAACTCGCCGGCTTCCTTGGCCGTCCGGAAGGTATGCAGGGTTACCACTCCAGTGGCGCCAGTTCCCAGGTAGCTGTGCACACAGTCGTAGACCAAGATGGGCGATTCCCCAGCCTTAAGGGTTTCTCCCTTGACCACCTTGGCCTTCAGCTGATCGATCTTGGCCAGCGTGTTGATGTAACTGGGATTCTTGGACACCTCCTGCGGCAACGTTCGCAGATCTTGAGCCACCAGGCCTACAAACTGATCGGCTATGCTCTCCTGGAGCAGCAAGGTGGCCACGGATCCCTCGGCAAATGGATTCTGCAGGGATTTCAGCAACTGCTGGCGGGCTGAGTGCAGATCACCGTCCTCGAAGACAATCATCAGTTGGGGTGAACGCCACTTGGGATCACTCGGGATTGCCTCAACCTGTAAACAAACAATATGGAGTTAGAATGAGTATTGCATTTAGTGTGTGGCGATCATGTTTTCTGCCATCTGGCATCGCTGAAAACTCCTCAGAATAGATTGGTATCAAAAAACCTTTCTGGGCACACTATTCGAAGAACCACGCTAAAAAGCCCACTAAGAAAACAGATCTCAATTCTGAACAATCACTCAGTATAAAAAAGTACAAAATATATATTAGCATCCAAGTTCTGTGTTTTACTTAAGAGCAGGACTTACCTTGGTTTGAAGACAAACCATAATTGGTGACCCCAGACGATTCAAACATCTGCAATCAAAGCGAACGCACCTCGACTTACTCAGAACTTCAACATAACCTCAAACAATGCCGGATAACGAAGACTTCGTCGACGCGCAGGAACCACTGCAAATTCCTGATGCTAGTGCTGTGAACTCGGTATTTGCCAAGATGCCCTTCCCTCAACTACATTCCATTACCAACATCGAAATGTTTTTCACCAAACTGGAAAGCTGGTTTTTGCTGCAAGGTCTCGGTGCACGCAAAGAACAGGAGAAATACGCAGCAGTAATTGCGTATGCTGATCCCAAATACCTGGACCAAGTGCACGATCTTGTCAATAACCCACCACAAACAAACCCGTACTCAACCCTCAAGCAAGCAATTTTGTCAAAATTTGCCGAATCAGAGATGGTGCGCCTCGACAGACTTGCGACAGGAATTCAACTAGGTGACGGTCGTCCAAGTCATCTACTCAGCCAACTACAGCAAACTAACGCCACCAATGACGAATCGGTTGTACGTCGCTACTGGATCAAGCGCTTACCACCTCCCGCGCGTGCTGTAATCGTAGGTCTGCTCGAAAGCTCTCCCAACACCACCCTCGCCCAGCTTGCAACTGCTGCCGATGCTGTGATGGATTCCCTTAACTACGACACTTCAGATCACATGTGTGCAGTATCACAGCAAAACACCCACCACGCTTCACAGGAGGATCGCATCACACAGCTGGTTAAACGCCTGGATGACAATGACAAGATGCTACAGCAGATCAACAACAAGCTGAGTCAGCTCCTTGGCACCACCAATCAACAACGCGGTCGGAGCTACAATCGATCGCCCAGCAACAATAGTTTCCGCAGTAACACACCATCCAGGGACAATTCTAACCCTCAATTTTGCTGGTACCACAACAAGTACGCAGACAGTGCCCAACGTTGCATCCAACCGTGCTCTTTCCATGCCAACAACAGTTCAAAAAACTAAGCTCCACCGTTGGAAATCAACAGGGCAGCTCCGACGGTCGTATCCCAAATGCCTCACAGCGCTACCCATTGTTTAAAGTAAACATCTGCAGAATTTCATCCTCCAACCGTCTCTTCGTTCCGGACTCCAAATCGGGTAAAAGTTTTCTCATCGACACTGGAGCTGACGTATCTGTTATACCACCAAAAACAATTAATCGAGACATCAAAGCTAATAATAACCATACACTATTCGCAGCCAATGGAACAGCAATCCATACTTATGGTACCACCCGCCTTACGCTGGATCTC